CTCCCTCCTCCCCCAAACCTCCCTTCCTGCTGTCCAGGAACTGGCGGCTAAAAAGGAAGAGAAGGAGAAAGAGAAGGAGAAGGGGCTGCTGACCGGAGGAGGGGCGATGGTCCAAGCGGCGGCCGCTGCCCAGGCCAAGAAGGAAGAGGCCAAGCAGGCCAAGAAAGGTCTGTGCCCAGCAGGAGGAGCTGCCTCAGGGAACTGGGGCAGTGGGGCTCTGGAAAGCTTTGGAGTCCCCCCGCCCCACCGCCACCCCCACGCTGTTTTGTAGCAAGAAGCAAACTCCTACGGGGCCTTAAAAGCTTCGGTGGGCCGCCGGCCGCCTCAGAGACCCCTCTTTCCAGCCCACAAGGCCACCACCTACCTTGCCTCCGAGAGGCCACGTGCCACGGTGAACACCCACCCGGTGGTTTCGCCGACAGTGCCCCCCTCTCCTCTCTTCCCGGTTTCTGGCACCCGCCTCGGATCAGACGCATCCGGTTCACGGCTCCCACCTTTTGTCCTCGGGAGCGGCGGAAGCCCCAGGAGTCCGGCTCCGAACACCTTTTAGCTGCGGAGGTCCTGGAGGCGCACGTGGGGATCCTCCACGGCGGCCTTTTGTTTATGACGGCTTGGCAAGGCTCAGGTTAATTTGCCCGTCCCAGTCCCCAGCCAGCCACTGGGAGAGGCCCGTCCAGACACTGTGCCCGTCCGACGGCAGGAGGAAGACGTTCCGATCCCCCACGGCTGACTTTTAAGAACCGCGGCCCCCGCTTGGGGTCAGAGATGGGAGCTAAATCCCCAAGCCCGGCGACGGCCAGACCACGTCGTCGCTTCTCCCTGGGAGTCGCTCCTCTCCTGGCTCCGAGGGCCCTGCCTGCAAAGCGCCCTCAGCACCACGGCGGGCGGCACTTGCCACGGGCCTCTCTTTTGTTCTCTCACAGCCGCTCCTGCAACCGAGCAGAAACCAGTTCGTGGGAAAGGCACCAAATCTGGGCCCAAAGACAAACGGGCCCAAATCCTGGAAGTGGAGGTGAGGCTCTTCGGCCGGTCCGGTCCGGCACCAGATCACACATGTGGTGGAGAGAGACCGCGAGTGCGGTGGAGGAGGGGGGACAGGAGCCGGCCAGCAGCTGGGCACAGCCGTGACTTCCCGAGGGGCTCCCCCCCCCTCGGATGCTTGGGAGAGGCCCACCTGTCCTGGCCGGGGTCCATTTGCCCCGATGCTGCACCTTGGGGCCAAGAAGCCTCCGAGCAGGAGCCCCCACAGCGGCTGCTCCCCTCCTGCCCTTTCCCCGCGCGGGGCTTTGATGCCTGCACCATCTCCAGGGTGGCAGGAGGAGGGGTGGCGGGGGGGGGCTTCCTGCAAGGAACAGCAACACCCACACAAGCCTCTAGGGGACCACAAAAGCCGCCGCTGGGTCTCCCCAGGAGGTTCCAAGAGCCCTAACCCACCCCACCCCTGCCCCCCGGGGACTCCTTGGTGGCCAAAAGGGCTTCGGCCGGCCGGCCAGCTGAGTGGGGACTGCCCTTGCCGGTGTTAACACGCATCTGCGCGTGTGTGCCCCCCCCCTCTCACGGGCTGCTCCTCTCTGTGGGCCAATCGCGGTGACCCACCTGCCCTCCCTGTCAGCAGGTGAGCGAGCCCACGGAGGCGGTGAACCCGCTGCTGGAACAAGCGGAACACCGAGACGGGAAGGTCTTCCTTCCGGGCAACCACGTCCTCCTCTACCTCAACCTCATGCGTATGTCTGGGGTGCCAGGGAGGGGGCGGGCGGGCGGGCTGAGCACTCCTGGGCCGGAGTGGCTTTTCCATGGCTCTTTGGCTCCCTGCTTCCAGGGGCTGTAAGAAGCTATGTGCCCCCGCCCCCCCCCCGGAAGGGCCGGCATGGGAGCTGCGGGGTCAGCATTTGGCCTGAGACAGCGGTTGGGGCTGTGATCCTTGCCCTCCTCTCCTTCTTCATTCCACCCCCCCCCTTCCAGGTAACCAGATCACCGAAGACGGCCTGAAGGCCTTCCTGGCTGTCGTGGAGCAGCAGAGCAGTCGGGGGGCACACGGGGGCGGCAAGGGGCCGACGGGACTCCTGCACCTTTCCCTGGGGGTGAGTCCAGGGAAACCGGAAAGCAGGAGGGGGGATGGGGAGGCCGCCCGAGCGGCAGGAGGAGCTGGACCCACCAGGTGGGCCTCCGGCGGGGCGCCCACGGGAGCGAGCGGGCAGCCTCGCCAACTCCCTGCCCCTCACGCTGTGGGCCATTGCAGAAGAACCACTACCCTGCGGACAGCAAGACCTTCGCCCGGATCCAAGAGCTGATGGCCACGCGAGACCCTCTGCCCAAGGCCGGGGCCCGGGTGGCGGCGGAGGAGGACCTGGTGGCCTCAGGCACCTGAAGCCCCTCCCCGGAGGGTGCCCACCACCACCATCACCGCCACCACCGCGGACAGCCCTGGACCCCTGTTTCGCTCGCCATCTTTCCTTCCTGGCTCCTTGGGACGTAGAGCGGAGGAAGTCAATAAACAGGTGGCCCTGTTTGCCAGAGAAGCCGTCTCATTTCAGGGCGGGGGACGCGGCACCCCTTCCAGGTCACCCTGTGTGCCCATCCCCTTGCTAAGCACGCAAACCGTTCACCCATGGCTGTCTGCTGATCTTGCTGAGGACGATCGGGAATGGTAGTGCCCCCATGCCCCATTGAATGACCCACCTTGCGGTTCAATGCAGGCCAGGCCTCGGAAAGAAAGGGGAGCTTCCCCTTTGGGCGCAGGAGGGAGGGAGGGAGGGAGGGAGGGCTGTGGCCCAGCTGGAGGGGGAAGGGAGCCCAGCTTCCCTTCGGTTCAAACCGTCCCACGGAACAAAAGCCACCTAAGACCAGAGATGGAAGAATGTTTTACTGTTTTTCCCTTTTTTCTTAAAAAAGAAGCAAAAAAATTCTTTACCATTGACAGGAAGAAAATAAAACTGGCTTTTAGCAAAACTGAAC